CTGCAGTGAGCTATGATCACGCTACTGCACTACAGCCTGGACAACAGAGCAAGACCTGCTTCAAAACAAAATCAAAAACAAAAAGGGAATCAAACCTTCCCTTGCCCAGAGCCAGAGTTGGAAGCAAGGTCTCCAGTCATCCAAGTGCAGTCCTCTTCCTGTATCACCCTTTGGCTATCTCCTAGACCACGGGAAACCATGTGTTTGAACTAAAACCACAGTCTGCACACCTTCTGGCCCTGCCAGGGCCCTGTGAAGAGGTTACTCAGCACAAGTTCATCACCAAGCACATCCAAAAGTGTCAGCAGATAGGCCTCATAGCCACCTCCGTATTCACCACTTGGGCATCACAGTCCACAAGCACAATACACGCATGCCTTGTACTGCATAGGGATAGAAAGAACACCAAGCTAGAAGCCAGGAAAACAATCGATCCCCCACCCTCACCCCCACCCCTTCAACCTGATAACCCAGGGAGTTAAGACTGATCAATTATATTTAAAACAAAAAGAAAAGGTGGGGGTGGGGAGGCAGGTGCCGTTGCTCACACTCATAATCCCAACAGTTTGGGAGCCCAGATGGGTGGATCACCTGAGGTCAGGAGTTTGAGACAAGCCTGGCCAACATGGTAAAACACCGTCTCTACTAAAAATACAAAAAAATTAGCCAGGGGTGGTGGCAAGCGCCTGTAGTCCCAGCTATTCAGGAGGCTGAGGCGTAAGAACTGCTTAAACCCAGGAGGCAGAGGTTGCAGTGAGCCGAGATCATGCCACACACTCCAGCCTGGGTGACAGAGTAAGACCCTGTCTCAAAAAATAGAAAGGGTAGGGGAGCGGGCATGGTGGCTCACGCCTGTAATTCTAGCACTTTGGGAGGCCGAAGTGGGTGGATCATTTGATGTCAGAAGCTCAAGACCAGCCTGGCCAACATGGCAAAACACCATCTCTATTAAAAATACAAAAATTAGCTGGGTGTGGTGGCAGGCACCTGCAATCCCAGCTGCTTGGGTACTCAGAAGGCTGAGGCAGAAGAATCCCTTGAACCTGGGGGACAGAGGTTGCAGTGAACTGAGATTGTGCCACTGCACTCTAGCCTAGGCAACAGAGACTCCGTCTCAAAAAAAAAAAAGAAAACAAAACATATACAAGCCAGGCATGGTGGCTCAGGCCTGTAATTCCAGCACTGTGGGAGGAGGAGGTAGGTGGATCACCTGAGGTCAGAAGATCAAGACAAGCCTGGCCAACATGGTGAAACCTCATCTCTGCTAAAAACAAAAAATTAGCGGGGTGTGATGCTGGGCACCTGTAATCCCAGCTACTCAGGAGGCTGAGGCAGGAGAATTGCTAAAACCTGGGAGGAGGAGGTTGCAGTGAGCTGAAGTCCCACCATTGCACTGCAGCCTGGGCAACAGAG